TTATCGTGCCCGCCATTCGCAAAAGAGAAAAACGCGTTTAAAGTTTGAGAAGCCCTTCAGCCGTCACTTGTACTGAATATCAGTAATATTCGGTATATATGTCATTGTAAGGAAGTGGAGGGTGCAAATATCACCAAATATTGCCCAGGCTCGGAATAAACATTCCCATAAAGTAAGAGTTCCGTGGTAGTTGTGTAGGCCCCATCCGTCTATACGGCTCACTGGTTTTTAATTTTTTCCGACCAAATGAGAACCTAAACTACCAAATTACCAAAAATTCGTTTGGAAAACTTGCTCATAAACGTCAAAATACCGAATATTGGGTGCTACAGTTGTGAGGTAGCTACCCTGAAAAGTAGACCTACATTTATAATATTTGCCAGGAAGACTTTGTACATAATGAGGAACCAAAATGAAGAAACAGAATTTTTTCTAAATTGAGAAATTCCAAATCCTGTGGATCTTAGAAGACGATTGAAATACAAAGATTTTTGTTCGTTAAAGTAGAATACCGAATCGAACGTTCCGAATGGCTCGAAGACGAGTCAAATTCCAAAAAAAAAAAAAAAAAATGTACATTAAAGAAGAACTTCGAATCGAGTGTTCCGCTTGAACAATATGGGACTGTCAATTATGGTTGGTAATCAAAAATTCAATTCGCTCAAGTCTTCGAAGAGTATCGAAAAACAATCGTTTCAAACGCTTGCCGATTTTCGTCAGGCAAAGCGTGGAATTTATGGGTTCGCCGCTGTACAGTATTGGCACACAATGCTTTCCTTAATCCAGCACGTCAAGGAAAAACTATTTTTCAACGATTTCTGCCATTAGAAGATGATTCGATTGAAGCGCTCAAAAATCATTTTTGATGGTGTATTAATTGGAGTGGAGAAAGTGCCACTTTCCATTCAAGCTGGAAAGTATTTTAGCAAAACATTTAATAAATTTTTGACAACAAATTTTTGAATTGTCATTATGAGGCAAGACATACATACATATATAAATTAGCCCTCGTACATTAGGGTAGAATGACCGGAAAATATATCACTCACATGTAAAGGCAATACGTCCATATTTTACAATTTTACACGAGAGACAAAAAAAAACAGGCAGCGACATGTCATAAATTGGGTTTAGAGCCTTTGATCGTCACTACAAAATAACAACAAAAACAAATGCGAAAATTGTACATTTGTTTAAGGACAATATTGACAATTTTTAAAAATAAGCCTCTACTTCTAAAAATTCTAAATTCCCATTATAATTTTTTCCTAGAATCTTTGGCTATCTATTTGAACTAATTTCCATTTGAAATTTATCCATCCAGCTATGTATATAACAATGAAATTAGCATAGCTTTGTGGTATTAATTTTTCAAGCGGATGACGACCAAACCGACTATTTGGTTATTTTTTTATCAAAGCCATTTTCCAAAATTTCTTGGAATTAGATAGACGGCCAGAGCTTGCTTGGCAATTCGATGAAATGAGTTAATAATGAATTCTCCTTAATGGTTGAAATCTCTGTGTAATTTGTTGTTGTTGTCGTCATTTTTAAAATCCACCCTGGAACCATTCTATAAAAAAATGGTCATCCTCAGTGCTAATTTTTTTTGTTCTTCATTGATATCTGGCCGCCACACAAAAGACAATGGTGTTGTTTGTTTTTTTTCTCTGCGAATTTCCCAGAATTTATAGTTTATGATATGTGTTGGGATTTTTGTTGTTGTTTTTGCTGTTATTTCGTTCTATGTCTTCCAATAAAGACAATATTAATTAGGCTTTTAATGGTCGATACTTAAGTTTTTATAATATGGTAGTTGAACCATCATCATCATCACCACCACCCTCTCTTTTGGATGGGATGAATTGCCTGCCCTTTTTTGCAATGCCACTCTCAAAAAGGGAAAATGTTCTGAAAATCCAACTCTTAGAAATCTCGTACAACAACAACAACAACACCATTTCAAAATTGTTTGAATTTGTACATATGTTGTTGAATGAAAAAAAAATACGATTGACTAAAAACAAAAAGGAATTCCCTTTTAGACTCTTGTCTATTTGTCGCAAAATGTAGCAAACCCTTAATAATGACATTAAGTTGTCTCCCCTTCAAGGCATTTTAGTTTTTGTTTTGTACTTTGGGATATGGTCTTTTTTGCACACTCAGATATAGATTTAGTATATTGGCATACTTGACTAAAAGTTTTTGCAATGCATACAATTTGATTACATTTTTGTAATAAAAAGTATACACATAGTGCTTTAAAGGATGCCTATAATAATGACAAGAGAAAAACAAAAAAATATATTACAGCCAAAGAAAAATGTTAGTTATACTTAAGTAATTTTTAGATGGTAATTCTTTTAACTCTATTTTTGTTGCCGACCTATATCTAGAGCTTTGGCAAGATTTTACGGTTTGACACCCTCTGGTGTTAACGGGGCAGTACAGTCGAACAGGGCTGATCATTGGATACCCTGAAATTTAATTTTCTGCGGATATGAATTCTGAGCCTGGGCAACATTTTGCGGTTTCGCACTTTATGGTGTGACAATGGAGCTACTGAACTTTATTGGGCATTTTTCCCATATCCACCCCATTATATTAAAATTATATAAGATTAAGACCAACAGTTACTCTTTCATACACTAGCAGCAATTTCGGATCACCCTTTCTTGACCCTTTCAACAACAGAACCTACAAGCAAAATTTCGTGATTATCGGAATGTACGGTCCTACGTGTAATTACTAAAGGACTCACCAAACTCTCGGCGCCTCACAAATATGCAATAGAAAAAAAATCCGGATCCTGTCTTCCAGCCATAATATGGAACATTTAAAATTTGTTATTCTTTGGTCGGATACTCTTTCCACATGTACTATATCGTAATGTTCGGGTCAGAATTGTGGCCTTTGAAACGGCACCGTCCTTGACCAGAACTGACCCTTCAATCAACATTTCCTGACCAAAACTTCGGTCCATACGATCCCATATATAAATGATAATGGACAGACGAATCGATTCAGCTATTTGACACAAACTTATAATACCCTCACCGGGTATTATTATCCGGATCATGTCATGTTCCAATATAGAAAATCTGTAATTTCGTCGGTTGGATCCCCTTTGTTATTTACTTTTCTATTTCTATGTACTATTTCCTAAAGATCGAGTCAAAATTGTGGCTTTTAGTGTGGCACCGTCTTTGACCAGAACCGAGCCTACAACCAACATTTCTTGGCCAACAGTTCGGTCCATACGGGTCCCACGTATAATTATTTTTAGGGTCTGGGCAAATCTTGGGGTCGCACAAAAATATAATAATATCCTCAAAGCACTAATACCCTCCCATACACTAACAACTATTCCGGATCAAGTCTTCCCGCAATAAAATAGAAATAGTCTCACCTATACTAATATAATTTCGGATCCTGTTTTCCACCCATAAATTGAAAATTTGTATTTTGCCTATGAGCAAACCTACAACCCACATTTCGGTCCATACGATCGGACTTATAATTAATAAAGGACAGGCGAATCGATTCAGCAAAGTCGAGATATGAAGATTGTAGGGTCTGGGCAAATATTACGTGGGGTTACAAATTCTTGGTGTATCACAAAAATATAATATTCTGAAAGCATTAATACTCTCCCATACACTAACAACTATTCCGGATCATGTCTTCTCGCAATAATATGTAATTTCTGTATTGTTTTAATAGACAATCGGATCTTCTTCTACATATACTATTGGCCTTTAAAGTAGCACCGGAAAAAATATGGGTGTCGTCTTTGTCCAAAAGCGAACCTTCACTAAAGATTTCCCGACAATTTGTCTATATGACCACAGACTAATCGATACAGCTAGACGAGATATAAAGATCGGAGCGAATATTTCGTGGCTTGGAGCCTCCCAAAAGTATAATACCCTTATAATATATGCTCTGTTCCCGAACCTGTAAGGATTTTCAAATTGTTTCTAATTTCTCTTCTTATAAATAATATTGTAATTATTAACTTCAGTAGCGTTTGGCGGGTTAACTAATATTTTTCTCTGAGTGTAGTTGCATTTGTGGCAACATTGTTACCAAGCTATTTAAATCTGATGGGACAAAGCTCCAACTTATAAATATATTCGTCATGATAGGTTCATACAGACGCAGTTATAATTAATATGACGTCTATCCATTGAAGATTTTAGGGTCTAGGGTCAATATTTCGTAGGGTTACGAACTCTTGGGCTTCACAAATATATAATACCCTCACAACATATGCTTTGTTCCCGAACTTGCAAGAAATTTATATTATAATAATTTCGAAATTATTTTCGGATTTTCCCTTTATAAATTTTATCATCATTATTACCCAATATTTTTCTCTGAGTGTATTTGCATTATTTTGTCTACATTGTTACCAAGCTGTTTACATTCAATCGGAACAAGCGCCAACTTCTATATAATTCTTTTTTTACATTTACAATTTGCGAACCCCTCTTTTTTTTAAAGTTATTTAGCTTGCAACATAAACTTCAAGATACATATTGTCGCCATCAGCACCACGCTTGCTCGCTATTTTCGAGCTGTAGCGAATATGTGTGTGCGATGTTTTTTTCTTCACATTTTTTTGATGAATTTATATGCAGTTCACTTGATATTAATTATACAACACAGTTGACTTGAATTTTGTCTAAGCGTCACAATTATAATTGCAAGTGAAAAAGGAGAGGACAAAAAAATTAAAAAAAAAATATAAGACAAAAACAACAACTAAAATTAAATCACTACATGTTGTTGATACATTTTTGAAGACAAGTGTAAAAATTTCACTACAAATAGATGTCTATAGAGAAATTCAAAAAAAGTTTTTCAAATTATTAAATTGAATTACAAAGTATCTATGTTAGGTGTTTTAAATAAAAAAGAGTGAGAAGGAGTTTAGAAAATTAAAAATTTTGGTTAGAAATTAGAATTGTGAAATTAAAAAAGAAACTAATTTTTACCTGTACTATAACAATACGACTCTAAGTCTGGTCGCATGGGGGCTAATGAAAAAAAAAGAAAAAAGAAAATTTTATTTATGAAAGAATAAAAGAATATTTACAAAAAATAAAAAGAAATTAAAGATTAAAAATTACAACTAATACATAAACGGAAAATACAATGTTGGAGAATATAAAAAAATTAAATTTCATTTTTTCAAATCGGTCCACGTTTTGACACAGCTCCCATTTAAGGATAACCCACATTTTTTTTTTCAAGCGAAAAAAAAAATTATAAAATAATGAATGAATATGCCAAGTAATAGGAATTAAAGAATTAAAATTACAACTCATAAATTAAAGGAAATAATATAATAATGGATAATATAAAAAATAAGTTTTTTGTCTAAAATCGGTGCACGTTTTGACGTAGTTCCCACATAAGGATAACCCCACTTTTCTCAAGCGAATTAACTGCAATTTGCTATTTTGGATTCCCATTGAGTAGCAACATTTTCAAACAAAACCAGTAAGGAAAGTAGTAAAGTCGGACTGGGCCGACTATATGCTACCCTTCACCACTTTGCGTATATTCTACATATGTATCCTAACAGACGTCGATTTTTCGAAGGAATACTAATTTCAGTATGATGTGTCAAACGGCCTAGCTTTAGTCCACAGTTTACATTAAATCGTACGATATTATATATGGGAACTATATCTAAATCTGAATTAATTTTCCCGAAACTTAGCACACATCATTCTTGACCTAATTCAGTACCCTATGTCAAATTTCTTGCAAATCAAAAGACATATGGGACTTTGGTGCCCCATTTACCTTAAATCGGACAAAAATATATTTCGTAATCGAACCCAATTTTCGAAACTTGACATACATCATTCAAGATTCAATTCTGTACCCAATGCAAAATTTCATGCAAAACAATGGTTTTTTTTTGCACCATTAACATAAAATTTAACGAAAATATATATGGGCGCCATATCTACATCTGCACCGATTTTCACGAAACTTAGCACACATCATTCTGGACCTAATTCAGTACCATGTGCGAAATTTCGTGAATATGGACAGATATATAGCGACATTGGAGCCCCATTTACCTTAAATCGGACGAAAATATATATGGAAGCTATATCTAAATCTGAACCGATTTTCCCCAATTTCAATAGGGTTCCTGGGCCATATAAATGAGCTGTGCCAAATTTCATCCAATTCGGATAATAAATGCAACCTGTACTTTATTTATTATCAAAAGGAACCCTGTATCTATCTTGTTTCCTTTTACCTGTTACAAAAATATGCACAAAGACATAATACCCTGTACCACAGTGTGGTGAAAGGTATAAAAATGGGTCCAATTTTTAGCCCCCATATAGACCCAAAATTATGATAGTACCTCTAAAATATTTTTTCTTATTTTTAATTCTTATTCGAAATTCAAAACCCCTCCCTCCAATTAAAATCAGTTTTTTCCTTTCTAGGTGTCTTCCAAACTAAATATTCAAATATTTTTAATTTTTTTTGTTCTTAATATTTATTATTAGTTTAAACATAAGTAATACCTATTCCTGAAATTCCAAACCCCTCCCCATCCAATTAAAATATTTTTTCCTTTCTAGGTGTCTTTCATGAAAACCAAAACAAAGCAAAATATTGAAATATGATTCCTTTGTGCCATTTTACGGCAGATTTGTTCAAATTTTATGGATGTTGTCGTCAGTATTGTTTTTGTTCCTAAACAAAATTCCATTGTAATACCCAGCAAAAATAAAAATTAAAAACAAAGAAATCAGCGAAATTCAAAATAATGATGATCATGCTGTGAGAAAACCTTAATAATAACACGTATAACAACACAGAGTGTGCCCAGCATGAGTTATTGAAAAAAAAACATCAAATCTAAAAGCTAAATGAAATCATTGTTTAGAACTCAAACACATTTTACAAAAGGAAAACTAACAGACTCACACACATCACTTTTTCTATTCATCATTAAAATAATTTTGTTCATTGATTCGATTTTTACTTGGCCATTTTTTCTCTTTCAGTTTTTTTTTCAAATGTAAGTCTTTTTTGTAATTATAAAATGTGTGAGGATCACACATTAAAGAGGGTAGAATGGCGACATTGCAATCAAAATATTTTTTGAAAACATATTTCTCAAAATAACAGAAACCCTTGTGCATGGCACAATTGTCAAGTAGTCGGCAACAGCAAGCCAGCCTGCCCGCCAGACAGCAAAAAGCTAGCGACATGCTAACATCTCAGCGTTAACATGTAGATCTGTCAACGAAAATTAATGACATCATAAATCATGTAAAACATTTTGTTTTGCATACAATTTAGTTTTACATAAATGAATGTGAAAGCAAAAGAAGAAGAAAAAAATGTGGCAACGCCACACAAATAGGCATAGACACACATTTTAGAAAATAATATGAAAGGGGAAATTTTAATTAATATCATTGAAAATAGTTCTCATATATTTTTTTCTTTGGGACACACCCCAATACTATATTGTTATATAAAAAATTTTAAATTAATGTCATAGAAGAAATACCAAAACGATATTTCAAAGATATTTCATGCGACAGCCCATAAATATTTTACACAAATGTATTTAATTAGGCTATTTTTAATTTGTCTCATAAAACTAGTTTTATTTTATGGCCTGTTCCCGTACTGCAAGAATCTACTAAAATTAACTTTTTTGTCGATATCATAACAAATTTTACATTCTTGCAGATTCTTCAGCAGATCATTAATCTTCTTTTTTAATTTTATTTATTATTTATTTTTAATATTTTTTCTGGAACACAAATGTTTTAATATATTAAACATATCCACTCTAATATCCATTCACACACATATGCAAATTTTATTTTAAAAAAATCTATATTTTCTCTACATTTGTATGCGACGGCATGTGTTGAATATCCAATGAAATCGTTTTTATTCACTGTTTGATGATGATCGGCATCATCAATTATTTCTTATCCATCCCTCGCTAGCAAATAGCTGAGAGAATACGATATGATGACATTTATTTATCTTTCGAGTGAAAAAAAAATAAAATAAAAAGACGAAGGAAGAGAATTCATATTTTAAAATTTTGTGTATGGCTGAAATAGTCCGCACATACATATATTCGTATTAACCAATCAATGCAGCGTAACAAATACAGAAAAATAGAATATTTTTATCTCAGGTTCTTCGATATTATCTCTCAGTGTCTTTTGATTTTATACGAATTTAATAGATAATAAATTGGAAAATAAATTGAAATGGGGTTGTGTATTTTAAAATTCGAATGATTCTAATGAAAAAGGAGAGGAATAATTTTTAATAGAGATAAGTAATTGATAATTATTGGAATATATAGATATTTATCGAAAATAATATTTCCGTAGAAAAAAAAATTATCGATAATATTACGTTAAAGAAACAAAAAATTATCGCCATTATTTGTACTATAGAAAGTCTTTTCAATGCAACGAAAACTTAACGATAATTATTTTTTTCTATGGAGAAAAGTTATCGTAGAGAAAATAGTCATCGATAACAATTTTTTATAAAGATTTTGTTCTATAATTTCTAAAAGTTAAAAAAAAAAAAATTTTGATAAAAATATTTTTTCGAAAAAATTATCGATAATATTACTATTTTATAAAAGTAAAAATATCGATATTAATTGCACTATAGAAAAAATCTTTTCTCAATAATGAAAACTTACCGATAATTATTTTTCTGTAAAGCAAATTTTTCGATAATGTTTTGTTTTCTGGTAATATCAATAATATTTTTTTCAAACAGAAATATTTTTCTGTAAAAAATGGTTTTGATAATAACTTTTTAATATATTATATAACAAGATTATCGATAATATTACATTAAAGAAAAAAATTATGGATATTAATTGCACTATAGAAAAATCTTTTCTCCGTAATAAAAACTTACCGATAATTATTTTTCTATAGAAAAACTTTATCGGTAATATATATTTTTTTGGTTGAGAAAAGCTATCGATAACAATTTTTGTATAAATAATTTTTCTATATAGTTTCGATAACATATATTTGTATAAAGAATATTTTTAATTGTAAAAATAAAAATGTTCCCGATAACAGTTTTTAAAAAAAAATTCGTTTTTTTTATAAAGGATAATTGTCGATAAAAATGTTTTGTTATAAAAAAGTTGGCAATAATAACTTTTATATAATGAAAATTGGCGAGAATAACTTTTTCTACAATGAAAATTGACGATAACAACTTTTTTATAAAGACTAGTTGCCGATAACAACTATTTTGTAAAGGCTAGTTGCCGATAACAACTATTTTATAAAGACTAGTTGCCGATAGAAACTTTTCTATAAAGAAAAGTGGTCGATAAAAACCTAACCATAAAGAAAATTGTCGATAAAGCTTTTCTATGAAGAAAATGGGGTCGATAACAATTCTTTATAAAGATTAATTGGCGAAATTTTGTCTATAAAAATTTTTCTGTAAAGAAACTTTACCGATAATAAATTTTATTTCAAGAAATGCTGTCGATATCATCTTTGCTATAACACATATTTGCCGATAAAAATATTTTGGTATAGAAATGTTGTTGTCATTAATTTTTTTTTTTTAAGAAAATATGCCGATAAGATATTTTCTAGAAAGAATAGTTGTCGATAACCACTTTTCTATAAATAAAAGTGGTCGATAAAAACTTTTCTATAAAGAAAAGTGGTTGATAACAAATTTTCTCTAAAGAAAAATTTGCATTTAATGTAAGAAATATTTCCGATAACAATTTGTCAAAAATGAAGATTTATCGATAACAAAGCTTCAATAAAGAAAAATTTTCGATAACAAATTTTCCATAAAAAAATTGTCGGTAAAAACTTCGTATAAGGAAATTCACAATTAGAAATTGTATATTAAAAGATAACGACTATATATCGATAATAACGTTCATATACTCATATGTTATCGATAATTTTTTTACATAAAAAAAATATTTTTAACATGAAGAATTTGATCTCAATTTCCTCCT